TAAACCTGCTAGCAATGCTTTCAATATCTTCTTTCTTCAGTGCACCAGGATCTGAACCAGCCACGTAATTGTGCAAACTCAAGGCAGCAATCTCCGGCACGGAAGAATTCAACGCGTATACAGCACCGGCGCCGGCAGCTCCCAAAACAACAGCCCCACCCAAACTAGCATTCCGGGTCCCACCAATACGTAACCCCAGTCCATACCCAGCAGCAACGGCGCCTGCAACTACAACGACTGAGCTAGCTAACCTAACAGCCGGCGACATAGAATCCACAAGTGATTGGAATGCCGACAGCTCCTTCTTCCCTCCAAACACATCGCTTACCGGAGTGGTGGTGGATGGTTGGTCAACTGATGATGACGATGCGGAGCAACGGACAGCAGGGGCGCGGCAGCTGTATCTATGCCGACGGTGATTGAAGGTGAGAAACTTTGTTGTGATTTTTAGAGGTCTAGGATTGAGAAATGGAGTGAACAAGATGGTGGGGTGAGGAGAAGATGGTTGTTGTGTTAGAAGAATTGAAGGGTTCATGTTGTGGATTTCAGGCTACCCTTTCCCCCCTTCGGTGAAGCTCCGGCGGGTTGAGGCGACGGGAGGAGGTGAGTGAAGATGGTGGGAAAAAGGATAGGGAAGAGATAGTGTGGAGAGGGCGGAGAAGAAGATAAAAGGGGGCAGGCAGGGTTTTGTAAATTACTCCGTATTCCAGAATTACCCCCCTGAAGTTTTAATTTTAACACTGGTACACCCTTGACACTGATTATTGTATCATTGCCTAGAAATAGATTTGTTGTTAATGTTTTGCATCCTTTTTACAAAATATAGATATTTACATAGGCTTAATAAAGCTTTACCAATAGAATTGTTAGTTTTCCGTACAATGTTTGTAAAACTATTTATTATATATATAATTTAATTTAGAAACCCCCTTATGAACAGTATCCGGGTTGGATCCGGATATAACCTCACCGCCTACTTTAATCCCTTCACCGATCCACTCTACTTCCACCGCCATTCATGTCCACCTCTCCATCTGCTCTATTTCTCAGTTATCACTAATTTCGTCTTATTTTCCTCCTCAGTACGTTACTCTCTCCCATCAACAAATCTTATTGACCACAACAGATTCGCGTCACCGTGTATGAACTCTAAAAGCGATGTTTGTGGATTGATTGCTAGGGAAGAAGAACGGTGATGGTAAGAAATTGGCTGTCAAGAATCGGTTTCAGAAGGAATCGACTGTAAAACTCCCACTTCTCTTCCCCGAATCGATTCCCCACTGCTATCATCGTCGCACCAACGATGACGAATCTGATGTTGATTTGGGGTCGCCACCCCCTTCTTCCAATCTTCTTTAGGCGCGAAGTTGCACTCCACCAACTGCTTTGGTTTTTGTGTGAGCTTTTTCATCTCTCTGTCCAGGTTTTCGTTATGCAACCAGGAAAAACGGCGGTCATGGATCTTAGGTACCAACAACAATAGATGATGATGAATCAACATAGAGTATCGCCACCACAGCAGCAGTTCCATCAACAACATCCGGTGAAACTTTGTTTCAAACTCATGAGAATTTAGAACACTTGGCGGTGATGGAGAGGGTATTGGGACCTTTACCAGAGCATATGGTTCAAAGAGCCAAGTAAGATCAGACCTTTTTGGTGAAACTTTTTTTTCGGGATAATTATTAAAATATGATTTTGTTCTTTCTACGGGTTATTTCAGTTTGGTGGTTGTCAAAGCCAACAAAAATAAATACCCTAAATATTACACACTAAAATAGTGTATAGTAGTAAAAGTATCGTATCCATAAAGATTGGTTTATTTTATAACTCTATGATAATCTTGTTGTACAAAACACTTGTAAAACTAAAATAAAATAAAATTAGGGAATTTTGATATTTTGAGATGTTTAAAAGAAAACTAGAATTATACTAAGATTTAAAAACACAATTCAACAAAAGCAAGGTTTGATATAAAATCAATAAGAGAAAGATGGTTGACTTTGGACTTTCATTACTTGACCATTTGGTTAAACAATCATGAGAATACCAAGGTGCAATATTTGTATTTATAACCTAACTTGGTTATAGCAATTTATAAGCATAATTTGCCTCAACTCTTCTTTTGTATTAAAACGGCTAGAGAAGCTCATAGCACATTTCCTAAATCAAAGTCAAAAAAACTAATGAGGCATGTAATTTTGTGAAAATCAATTAGCATTATGCTTTAAGAGTCACCAAATCTAAAGAGTAATCCATTGTTTTCATTACCACTATGGAGAAAATAGTTCCTTAGTCTAAATGAAATGAAAACAAACATTTAAACTAATTGTTGTTTGTTAAGTTGTAGACCCATTACTTAGCCAAGAATTTGACTAAGAAAAATAGCATTCATATATCAAGATTCATGACTAGGGATATATAAACATGAAAGAAGTTTTAATGGAAAACATAATCATAGATATTAAACACAAGTTCATGGTGTTCTTCAAAATAACCAAGTCATTCAAGCAAATACATCCAAGTCAACTAATATTAACTTATCCTAACATGGCTAAGCTTAAACAAAAGGGAAAGAGTTTAGAAATACCACAAATTACTCCAAGAAAACAAGATGAAAAATCATAGTCTTCAAGTGTTCTTCATGTGTCTTCAAAGCTCAAAAAACTCCAGAGAAAGTCCCAAAAAATATGATCTAAGAATGCCCCAAAAGCTCCCACCAAACTACCCTCAAATAGCCATAAAACTTGAAAATCCGAAAATGCCCTTGCATGAACCACACGACCGCGTACGTTGCAGTGTAAAAACTCATGCGACCTCGTGAAATGTGTTGATCCATAATGGTTTTTGTTGTCCCTTTTCCTTTTTGGTCTTCTTTGTCTTCTAGTTTTGACTTCCTTGACTGATCCAAAAAGCCTAATTGAAATACCAAGTAGCCTAAGACAAGTAAATATAAGTCCAAAGACTCCATAGCCCAAAATATAATCCAAAAATCCATCAATGTCTTAGCCCATAAGTTCCATCTTTTTTTTCATCAAACCCATTTGAATCCATCTTCCAATCCACCAAGTCCAGAGTTTCTCCCATTTAATATACAAAGTAAGCTCCAATGACATTAGTCTTCAATCCAACTATCTTTGATAAGCCCTAAGAATCTCGATCATTCGCTCGAACTCCGTTTATCTTCCAAATCTCCATCCACGCTCTATTCTATTCCTCTAAATATATGCAATAAAGCTCAAAAACTAGAAAGTACCTGATATAAATATAAAATAACGAAAAGGAAAAGACTAATTAAAAATAAAATAAAATATGCTAAAATAAACTATAAAAAGAAGTAAATAAAATAAAACTATCACGGCTATGGTGCTGAAAAATACTTCAAAAGATCAAGATTAAAGTGGCCAGAAGGTGCGATTTTTAGGGAGAATATTAGAGCAGCGAGGAAGCTAGATCGTCTGAAGGTTTCCTTATTTCTTTTAAAATATTTAACAAGATGAAGTAAGTATGGAAGGATGTTAATGTTGGATTAGGTGTCTAAGCCAATAACTAATTTGGTATATACTTAAACTATTAACAAAGTCATTTTTGGTTGCCCTCAAACCTGATAATTGGATATGATGACTTTTAGAGAGAGATATTGATTTGTTGATTTATTATATGATTAATAAATAGCAATAAATGATTTATTAATATACTATAATAATACTATATTAATTAGAAATAGTATTATTTAATTAACAATTAATCAGAATTAATTAGAATTAATTTTGAGATTAATTGTAATTGTTCAATAGTCGAACAAAATGATTCCAAAACCTTCCCCATCAGAGGTGGATGGTTTTGGGGAATATTCTAAGGTCTCTAGAATATTCCTTGAAGATAATTAGGAAACAAATAATTACCTGATTTAAAATACTATTATTTTAATTAAGTAAGGGTTATCTAGGGTTTTCATATCAGTTACAAATAGGCTTTCACCTCTTCATATTTCCGGCCACTTGTTTCCTCAAGAGTATAGCCGAAATATACCTCCCCTATCCTCCCTCTTCAAGTTTCCTTAGTTGCTAGAGTTTGGGTGTGAACCATCAAAGACACGTTGGTGCTTGCTTCCAAGAGCCTTTGAAGAAAAATTGAATTGATTTGTTTACTATAACAAATCAAAAGGTATGTAACCTTGATTCTTATAATTTTTATTCTAGAAGGTCATTAGGGTTCAAGTTATTTTGTTGTTTTATAAATAATTCAACATTTCTCTATGTTTTTTTCTTTTTTTTTTTTTTTTTTTTTGCAAATGAAAAAAAATGAATTTACCACTTTACGTCTTTTATCCTTTACCAATTTATCGTTTATCATTTTGTGTTGTGAGTAAAGTTTTGAAGTTTTTATAGTTTTTGAAGGAAAAACTGATAATGTGAGATATTTTTAATCTTTTAAAATAATTAGTTAATTAAAATTATGTATTATTTTGTGGGATCTTAGGATCTCGATCCCGATCTTGCAAGCCCAAAAACAATCCTACCTAGAATCCGAAAACCTTGAATAGAACTATTAGATCATATGTACACATGCATTTCTATATATAGACATTCATTCCTTCGTAATTAGAGTGTTTTTTTTTTTACTGTTAAATGCATGCTATTTGAATTTATTTTTTGAGTTTTATAAATAAGGAATCTGTTAAATATGATTACAAAAATTATGTTGTTATGTTAAATGCATGCTATTTTCTCAAAACAGTTTGTCCATGTTTTATAAATAATTAAACATTTCTCCATGTTTGTTTGTCTTGCAACTTGGCATAATAATAATCCATTAATTTTCAAATAAAAAACTTGGGTGTAAACTGTGGCAGAATTCTTATAAAATTCGAATCCAGAAAGTTCTTGGATTTCAAAAAGTTAAAAGTTTGGGTCCAATAGGGTAGAAATCTAACTTACGACATATTAAGGTCGAATTGCCAATCCATATGGATCAAATCTATCATGTTAACAAATAAAGGGACAATAAGTGTATACTGTTTAAAGTAGGCGCCATCACTGGAAACCAGTGGTCTGTTCATTCACTCGCACACTTCTATCATCTCCAATGGCGACCTCTTCCCTCCGGTTTGCATTCTCCCCTCTTATTCATAGCCAAAACTCCTCCAAACTCCTGTTCTCAATCCCTAATTATCAAACCAAATCGATCAGAATCCTCGGTTTCTCCACCTCATCTCCTTCATCAGACACTACTCTCGAAACCCTAGCTCCTCCACCGCCGCCGAGCCATTCCGTCAATAACCTCAACCCATATAAATGGGAGCCTTACCGGAAGAAGAAGGTGGTGATGCGCGTCGGATACGTCGGCACCGATTACAGAGGTAACAACATTCAGTTCACCTTTACTGTCGATTTTGATTTTCCAATTTCCGTTTCTTTATTAAGTTTGGACTCAATTGCTCGGTTTTTCAACGGTGGTAAGTGTATGTGTGGGTTTCTGTTGGTGGGGATTTTGTTTTGGTACCTTACATCTGATATGGATTTTGATTGCAGGATTGCAGATGCAAAAAGATGACTCCATATCCAGTAAATGCTCTTCCTAATACTTGTTTTCTTCTATCTTGTTAATTTTACAATTCAGTACCTCATACTTTTGACTATGTCGCCAGCCTATCCTCTTTTCATAATCATATGACAAGTACCCCCTTCGTCTAAAAGACCGTCAAAAGCTTAAAGCTTTTAATAAGAGGATCTTATAAGAAATAATAGTTATTTAATAAACATAAAAGGATACGTTATTGTATTTTGGTTTTCTTAAACACTCACTTACCACAAAAATTTCTATTAATAACATATTATGCTTTTATGTTCATATCAAAATCAAAGTTATCATTTTACTTAACACAAAAATTTCTATTAATAACATATTACGCTTTTATGTTCATATCAAAATCAAAGTTATCATTTTATTTTATTTTAACAAAGTATTTTATATAAATTATTAATAATAATTGAGATCTAACATTTCCTTTAACCCTTCCTTCTTCCAATAGTTATTTTAACCACGATAGTATGTGATATAATGATGGTTGGCTTTTATTTATTTGTCTAAATGCGATGCAACATGTACATTTAAAATAAAATAAATAAAACAAAAATAATGCGTTTAGTGGCTTTATGTCTCAAGACTTTTTATTAGATGCATGAAAAGGTCTAATTATCATTGGTAGCAAAAGTGTGAGCTCTCCACATACTTGATTCTTGATTGATTTGAGCTAGATCTAATTGAGTTAAGCTCCACATACTTGTTGTTGATTGATTTGAGTTAGATTTAATTTAATTAAGGCATGACCCAATTTCTTACCAAACTTAGAAACATTTCAGAGTTATATAATACCGAATCAAAAGCTTTAAATTGTTGTATAAACTGTTTGAATCTAACCGAGTAAAACCCAACATCTTATCAAAGCCAATAAAAGTATATTAAATAACCACTTAGATTATCCGTTATATCGGCTACCGACAACTTGTTGAGGTGGAGTTGCGGCATCGTGGGGAACACCACATGCCTAGGACGGTTCCGCTGGCAGAAGACCCCACCATGGTGAAGGAGTTGTTGGCCACTTCTCCTTCTCCTCTTCTCGTGCAACTCTTTCTCTCCTTTCACCTCGAACATTGTGTATTAGTACTTGTAAGTTGTTTTTGAAAGATGAAAGGTTGTTTTTGAAAGATGAAAGATTAGTATATCATAGTTTGAATCATGAATGAGAAAGATGTGCCACCAAGTAATAGTGAAAGACAAAAGACACATATAAGGATATAAACTAGATTTGCAAATTTATAACTTATTATAATATTGAAAGTAAACTATTTATCAATCACATATATTAATCATTTATTTTGATTTTAGTTATATAATTTGAAAATATAAACTTGTTATGACGTTTGATATTGATGATAGCTCCATAATTGGAATAAATAAATTTGAGTAGACTTTGGTACCAGAAAAAGGTGTGTATTTAAAAACATAATTAGAATAAATTTGGTGGTTATCATTATTTGTCAAAAATATAAATATAATACTATATACTACTATAGTTCTATCTTTTTGGGAAAGCGTATATTCACATGCTTTCCCAAAACCTATTCGATTCAAATAACGAGTAGTGTATGGAAATAGTGTGTGTGTGGGTGTGACAGACTGACAAAGCCGATCTAGGTGTGTGAATTACGACACGGAGGATGATGATGTTGCATCCGGCAACCGAATTGCTTCCGCCACCCTCATCGCCGACGATCTCTTCAATTTCATCTTCTGATTTAGACACCGAATCAACTGGGTCGTTTTTCCATGACCGTAGCACCACCTTAGGAACTCTAATGGGCGTGACGTCGGCGTTTCCCGCCATCACATTCAGAACCCCCTCCCAGCGTCGAGACCGCACGCCCACTATAACGCTCGGATCAACTCCTAACAGTAGAAGCTTCGTAGGACGACGGAGGAGGAACAATGACACGACGGCGGACTTGGTGGCGGAAAGGCGTCGGAAGAGGGTGAAAAGGAGGAACTGGTGGTGGTTGTGCAGCGGCGTGGCTACAAAGCCTTCTTCACTTGGGGAGTTTCTGGAAGTTGAACGGAGGTTTGGGGTGGAGGCACTCTTCGATGGTGATGCTCTGATGGATTTGAATTTGGATGATAATCGCAACAATGATGGCCGGATGTTATTTGCTAATGGGAGAGTCTTACCACCACCAACACATTCCTCCGATGTTGATGAACGGAGTGCCTCTTCTCTTTGTAGGTTTCCCGTTTTTCTGACCGGAATCTGCCGCGGTGGTGGTTAACGTCGGGAACTTGGAAATTGGGATACCAATTTCGTCCAATTGTATGCCAATCTGACATTGTAACCATCTAAATTGTTGAATAAAATGACTGAACACATATAATCTTGGCTTTCTGAAAAGTAGTTGGTTGCTCTTTACTCTTAAGTGCTCTTTAGCTAAGTATTATTACCATTTGCATGATATAGCTGTGGAGAAAGAGCTGGAAACAGCCATTTATAAAGCAGGTGGGATTCGTGACAGTAACTTGGGGGATTTGCAAAAGATAGCATGGGCTAGAAGTAGCCGAACCGATAAAGGAGTAAGTTTAATTTAAGTTATTCTTTTTCTTTTGACTTCCTTTATTCATTACAAATTTACAATCTGTTTTTGGTGACATTCTAGGTTCATTCCTTATCAACCATGATATCCCTTAAAATGGAAATCCCCGAATACGCCTGGACTGGTGACCCCTACGGGGTGGCACTTGCAAATCTTGTCAATACATATCTTCCCCAAAATATCAGAGTTTTCAGCATTCTACCTTCACAGAGGTCAGAAATATATGATTCTACCTTTGTAAAAAGCTAGGACTTAAGGGGATTTCTGGTGACTATGTTTTCAGGAGTTTTGATGCTAGAAGGGAATGTAATATACGGAAATATAGTTACCTCCTTCCTGTTGAAGTCATTGGGGTCACTAGTAACTTAAGCACATCAGAAATGGAACATCACTTATCAGACTTCAATACTATACTTAATTCTTTTGAGGTATACTTTCACTTTTTCATCCACTTCTATGTTTACACAATTTGGTATGATATTTAATGGATTCCCAACGGGTTATTGCAGGGAGAACATCCTTTCCATAACTATACAATCCGAAAAAATTATAGAAAAAAGTATTCTGCAAAACGATCTCCTAACAGTGGGCGTATCGCCGATAGAAGGGCAAAATCGTCAATTGAGCCACCCCAAGCCATTCTTGAGAAAAACGACGAGGAAGAATCATCTGATGGAGAAGAAGCTGTTGAGACAGATGAAACGATTGATGAATCAGATGCAAATGTGGATACTTTGAAGGATGTACCTATACCCATTCTTGCCAAATGGCTACATGAACCTGATGATAAAGATAGAATAAGCGCTTCCCATTTCAGAAGAATTTTCCAATGTTCATGTGGAAAATTGGAACAATTATTCGGAGCAAGATATGTTGAGATCTCGATTTGTGGGGAATCATTCATGCTGCATCAAGTAAGTGAATCGTTTCTCATGTAAAACAAATTTAAATAAAAAATAATTTAACATTGTTAATTATATTCAGATCCGCAAAATGGTGGGGACAGCTGTTGCAGTGAAGCGTGGGCTGCTTCGAAAAGACGTAATTACCCTTTCACTGAACAAATTCTCTCGTATTGTGGTACCCATTGCTCCATCTGAAGTATTGTTTTTAAGATCGAACAATTTTTCGATGAGAACGCATATTGGTACGAGGCCTGAGATTGTGACTTTGGTTGAATCTGAAGAAATACTGAAGGATGTTGATGATTTCTACAAATCAATCATGTTGCCTCAAGTTTCAGAGTTCTTGGATCCTTCTAGACCTCCATGGAAGGAATGGGTTGAGTTGTTAGATAGAAACACTGGAATCCCTGATTCCCAGTTGGATGAAGTCAAGAATGCTTGGATTGCATGGAAGGGACAATTCCGAAGTCGAGACACGATTGCACCATTATAGTACAACCACAAACTTTGAATCTTCTTTTTGCAAAAAAAAAAAAAATGATTTATGGTTATGATTTTCTGATTTGTAGTATCAAAAATTCAAAATAGTCATATTTGCAAGCACATAAAGAATTGTAAGAAAAAATGATCATTGAGATGAGGAGGGCATTTGCGTCTTTTACACAAACGAGAAACTGAGTCCTTGTTTTGCCTTTTTTAGATGGGACAAAAAATTCTTACTTTTATTATCATTATTTGAAGAGTAAACTTTAAAAATCGTTTATGTGGTTTATCATTCTCTTTGTTTTTGGTCACCAAATGTATCTTTTGTAATAAATGACCCTTATAATAGGGTTTTGTGTTGGATCAAGTCCCTCAACTTAACAATGTCGAATAGAATTTGGTAAGTCCCTTGCCAATTTATCATTTTACTCTCATTCCTACCTTTTATTATTATTTTTTTTTAAATTGTTGTTGGCTTGTTATTATTAGCCACATCGCTTCCATCACCTATCTTTGTAAAACTTGATTTACAAAATATCTCAAGGGTTTAAGTTGGAATGAGTACGTCTAACATGCTATCACTATCTCTATGTCTAATAATATTACTGATTATGCATAAATGAAGGTAAACCTGACCATTTCATCAGCCAATTACCAGTTGAAAAAATGGCTCCTTCAAATTTGAAGGATTTCTCATGAGGCTCATCTAATTTCCAAACAAATAACATTAGGCTCGAGAAACTCTCATTTTAAACCCTTGATGCCAAGTTTCTCTTTCACTTTAGGTGCTGTTTGTTTTTTCTGATATAAAATGTCTGCAGTCTGCGGACCACATCTGTAGACCTCTGTAGTAGAAGAGGTGGACCAAACGTCTGCAGTCTGAAAAAAGAAGACTGTTTGTTTTTTTAACATCTGCGGGCTACTAAAATAAACTGAAATCTAAATGAACTTAATTTTTTAAACTTCAAAGTGATTTTTTAATATTTTTATGACTTTGTTATAAATAATTAACAAATCTAGATCAACTTTTATCTATTATTGTATAAAAATAAAAATAAAAATAAAAATGGTATGAATTAACGTATATATTTGATAAAAACCAACAACTTTGGTTGCAAAGTTATAATTAAACATTATAATTAGGGATCAAAGAATTTGATACATAAATGGATGGAAATAAACTTCGATTTTTTAAATTAAATCCATTAAAAACGTACCATAAATATTTTCTCGGGAAATTGACGATACTGTATTAAATAATGTTTTACAAAATTTGACAAAAAAATATAAGAATATATTATGATTTTTTTTTCATATTTATATAAACAATTTCAACGATTATTATTGTAATAAAACTTTATTTATAAATTTGTCAAAAATATCATGTTTGTATCGTCGAACGTTTTTTTTTTTTTTTTTAAGTTTTGTAATTTTTTTTTCAAATTATTTATCATTAAAAAAGTTGGAAAAAATATAAATAAAAAAAAAACTTAAAAAAAATGAAGATATATGTGTTTTTTTAAAGCTAGAAGATGTCTGAAGATGTTAGAAGACTATGGTCCACATCTGCGCCAAGAAGAGGGCGCGCAGACATTTTTAGGTCTGCAGTCTTCAAAAAAACAAACAGTCTGCCAATGTTAATGTCTGCGCGTGGTCTGCGCGGCGCAGACAGAAGAGACCACGCAGATCTGCAGACAAAAAACAAACACCACCTTAGTATATTCATTATTCTTTTGGGATGTTACTAGCCAACGTGCTCGATAAGAAAAAAAAAGGGAAGTACACAATGAAAGTATGTTGTTATTTTTTTGCATCTTCCCTTAAAAGAAACCGCTACCGGCTACTAAGACTAGAGGAAGTGGTAACACTCCTAGCACCTTGCTACATAGGATTTTTTTGAACCATATAGGATGAAAAGAATGGTAGCAAAAATGCAGGGAGTGGTAGCATCTAATGTTAGTGTTATTTTTATTTCGGAAAAAAAAAGTAACCAATCACAGCCTTCAAATCATTGCAAGCCTTTCTCTTTCTTCTCGCTAAACCTGTAGCGATGTATTTTTAGCGACTCCCCTAGCGAGGGTTAGGGGGCGTTGTTCCAAAATCTTAGTGACTCTTAGCGAGGCTCATAGAGCCTCCACTCCTTGTGGCCTAAGTATTAGGTAGACAATACATAAGTAACTATTATGATCATAATTTGAGACATATGGCCTCATTAGAAGGGCACTGTATTGTCTATCACGCACTAAGTTATAACCCGTGAAAACTACGGTCGGTATATTTAAAACTTTTATATAGATAAAAAAAATAATAAATGTAAAAAAAAAAAAACAAGATATTGTCGATTGTAAATAATTATGAATTAATTTGTTAAGCAAAATAAACATAATAATGTTATTAGGATATGATTTTGTATTTTCAAAATTTGAATTGAATTTGATTTATTACAAAAAAAAAAGAAATAATAAAAACCATAGAAAAATATCACGTGTCAAAGAGACATTCTAAATAATTAACACGTGTAATTTTCAGGTTTTATTTATCAGAAGATGTAGATGTAGATGTAGATTGAAACGAAACTGAAACTGATTTCAGTGAGTAAAATTTGTAATTTCTTGTCTCTTCCAAAAAGATGAAACACAATGGGACAACTTTTACTTTGATATCTCGTATGCATGTGCATAATGTAATATTGACATCTAGATACTCAATTATTCATAGATTAAATAAAAAACATTTTCATTTTCATGCATGAAACAATTAAGTTACCATCAAGATATATGACAACATATAAATAAGGCAATAAATAATGTACAGTAAGATTTAAATCGACCAATTAACAATAAAAAAAGTTAAGGGGAACACCGTAGTTTTAAATAGGTGTCACACTCTCAGGTACAACAAAATTTGGTGCAAAATGTCCTTTGCCTTAATTTAGTTTCATAAAAACAGTCATGAAAAGTAATATAATTTTTAGTGTATTTTTGCACAAATTAAAACTTTGATTAAAGTCGGATTTACTCACAACTTAATGCTTATATATTGCAAGTCATGTAAAATTTTAGAAACAACGCCATGATCGCAACCACCACCAACCATTCACTATTTTTTTTTATTGAATTAAGTAGCTTGTTTCCAAGTTTTAGAAAACAAAAGAAAAACAAAGGAAGGAAAGTAAGGAAAAGAAACAAGAGAAAGAAAGCGAAAGAAAATTGTATTGGTGTTTGGGATTGTTTTAAAACGACTTTTGAACTTTTTACTTTTCTAAAAAGTCAAAAAAAATTAAAAATATGTTTGAAAAATTAAAAAAATCTTTTGAAAACAACTTTTGGACAAAGGAAAAAATGTTGATTCTAAAAGTCACAAAATCTGACTTTTGGGACTTTTGTGCCTTTTGAAAAGCAACTTTTATCTTTTTCCATCCAAACACATTTTAAATATATATATTTTTGGACTTTGTGTTTCCGAATTGGAGATAAGCGAAAATAAAATTAAATATTTTGTTCATTTCGCTTCAAACCTTACAAATTGAACGGAAAATCTCTCTTCTTCCGTTTTCATAATTAATAAAACTCAGAGACAATATTTTTTTTCACTTCTATCAATTTTTTTCTATTATTAAGTTGAACTCGGGGACTTAAACTCAAATTTATGCACACGGTGAGTTGATATATAAAATCTTGGTTACCAAACGATCAAAATAAACATTTTTTGAGTTTACATATCTAATTAGCAAAGTAATTTGTTATCTAAATTAACAAAAAATAAAATAGTTAACTGATAGACAATAATATGCTTTTATAACACACAATTATATATATGAATACCAATATACACATATTACATACAAGTGTGCACACAATTATATACGTATATAATATTTCCAAAAGTTTTATTCAAATAGTATATATCGATTACAATAATTAGTAGTTGTGTTCATTAAACTTAATATAAATTATCATGACAAAAGTATTTCTATGTTTAGAGAAAAAACATACATGATCTTATTAATTTATAGTATTAATTTATAGTGTTGTAAGGTGTTAACAACAAATATAATCATCTATTTATTACAATTTGATATAAAAGTTACAAATGTATAAACATATAGATTGTACAAAAGTAAATTAACATAATTATATTAGTGAATAAAAAAATTACATTTTGAGGTGTATAAAAAAATCAATATTTCATTATAGAAAGTTATTCGTACGCAACACTTTTTTCTCCGTACACAACAAATTATGCTTTACAGGATTGTATGATACAATATTTTAAAACATAAACCGTTATGTATGAAAAAATATTATTGTGTATGGATCAACTCTTTCATTATAAGAATATTTATGTTGTTCCTAAATATTAAGTTTTCTACAAATAAATTGGTTATTGGTTAAGAAATGGAACCAATTTATTATCTTTTGAGTTTTATATGTAAAATAACATAAGCTTAATGTTTTTTATGATATTGAATATGTCTTTTATTCACGGCCCGGTTTTAAAAAAAAAATCCAAAATTTTATCAGATGCATTATCTAACCGTTTCGATCGTGAAACATTAATATAACAATAACTAAATTTTTTAATAATTTTAACATATACAAAACTAATATAATAAATCTTTGAGTAAATTACTAAAATCGTCCCTATGGTTTGGTCAAAATTGCACGTTTGGTCCCTAATTTTCTTTTGCACTCGGATGATCCCTATGGTTTGATTTTGCTACATTTTGCATCCCTTACATACATAAAGTTAAGGACCAAAGTTGAAATTTTGACCAAACCATAGGGATGAAAAACGTAACAAAATCAAACCACAGGGACGATCCGAGTGCAAAAAAAAGGTTAGGGACCAAACGTGTAATTTTGAGCAAACCATGGGGACGATTTCAGTAATTTACTCTAAATCTTTTGTTTGGTATCAACGGATAAGGTTGCATTTTTCTTTTAGTTATTCATTAATTTTTGGACGATGATGGTTAGGATTAAACAAAATAGTTATCAATCGTCAGTCAAGCTTTTTTGTGTGTTCATTTCATGTTTCGCATTGTGTGTGTGAGCAGTATAACTGAACAGCAAACGAGTACTGAGAAAGAAAATGCGTTCAAAGGTGTGGTACGAATCATATCACAAAAATGGCAATCAGAAACCTGCAAAACTGATACGGAGTAAACCGAGGAAATGCTTCACCAAAATGGTGGCAAAAATAAAGCTGAAATTTATATAGC